GTCCTGGTTAAGTCCTGGTTTAGTCCTCGTTCCGTCCTGGTTAGTCCTGGAATCACTCCTGTTTAATCCTGGTTTAGTCCTGGAATCAGTCCTGGGTTAGTCCTGGTTAAGTCCTGGTTTCGTCCTGTTTAGTCCTGGAATCAGTCCTGGGTTAGTCCTGGTTAAGTCCTGGTGTTAGTCCTAGTTCCGTCCTGGTTCAGTCCTGGTTTAGTCTTGGTTCAGTCCGTGACGTGTGCGGCGCAAAAGTCCGGCATCTCGATCAGTGTTTCTTCTGCTCAGTAAATACTCCCTGTGAAGTGATGACAGTCGAGTCGCGTCTGTGAATTCGTGTTCGTACTGAAGAAAGCGAAACCGTTTCATTTCGTGATTGTAATTCTTGAAGTCGTAACGTTCCAACTCGTATTCTGGTGGATGTTTCAGTTAGAATGCTTTTAATCTGTGTGTGATTTATGACAGGGTACGGGCGGGGAACGGGTGAAATGTTAACGGGTCTAACTTTGATCAAATGACGGGTTAACGGGCGGGCGCGGTGCTGAACTGCGAGGGTTCGAGCGGGTGCAGGTCTCCAAAAACGAACCCGTGCAGGACTCAGTGGACAAACGCTCGACCACCTGAGCCCCTGTCGCCCAAAACGTGACGGCGGCGGCGTCTTAAAGGATGGTTACATTGTGATGAATGAGAAGGAGCTAAATCGGTAGTTAGTTTTTATTTGTCTCATAAAGTCCCGTATGGGCTCCACTGACACACTCTACCTGTCTTATTTCTTATTTCTGGGAGACTAACTCGATGTATTTAAAGGGGATATATTATCTCAACTCTCAGCTTTTACGAGCTTCTGCGTTAATAGCAGTATGCAGTGACTTTTATGCAGGCGAGCAGACCTGGGGTGGACACGAATATTTAGTCGATAACAGTTTAATAACAGCACTTTTTATACAAATTATAGTTCAAATGAGTATATGTTATTTCTGACATACGCTGAGCCATTTTCGAGACAAATTGGAGTAAGTTGACCAGTGTTTCCCAAACTTTTATCTTCTCAGGACCAATATTTTAAAAGTCACAAACCTTCGCAACCCAAGTCAATAGACGTTATTGGTAAATCACAAAATAAAGATGGATTTGACCTAGGGGTGGGCGATATATCGATATTTTAAATATACCGAGATAGTTTTTAAACTCGATATGGATTCTGACATATCGTATATATCGATATAATGCTTATATTCAATTTTGATTTCGCCGCTTCGCTTGTTTACCTTCTCTCTCGTCGCCTCCGCCTCCCTGATTTTGTTCGCTCGTGTCTCCTTCACTCGTCACTGTCGCCGTGAACGCAGAAAGTTGGTGCCAGTGAAAAGCTTCAAGCACCACGAACCTTTTCCACCATTTACAGACAAAACCACCAGCAGCACATCCTCATATTCCACCGAGTCGCGTCCTTTAGCCCGAAAGAAGCTGAACGAGTTGAGCTACAGGAGAAGTGCTGTTTATGCAAATGAGCCATGCGCTTAAGTTTTGTTTCTGTTAAATGTAAACACACGTGCGCAAAACTGCATTAAACACATTATTATCTCAAACAGGCTGATGTGGCTCTATAGTCGTTATGTTTTATATATTGTCAAGTTTATTTATGCAGAAGATTTTAATGAATAATCTGCTGCAGTGTCACTTGTACAATAGTGTTTGGAAACGTTGGGTTTGATCTGCAGTGGATTGTGAGATTAAACCTCAGAGCTCCTTACTGCTGGATAATAACATGGATCTATTGAAATAAGGAACATCCTGAGTTTCTTCTGCTAAATGAGCTCATGGTTCTGGTTCTGGTTTGGATAACAGAGTTAATGCAAAGATGAGCTTGTGTTGAGATATATGTATTATTTCTTTTATTTTACAGTTAAATTATTATTTATGTGATTAGGGTTTTTTGTAATCTTAAATGTTCCTATATGAATTGCCGACCTCTTACACTTCAATAAAAAAAAAAGGACCTTGTGGAATTGGCAGATTTGTTTTTGCAGTTTTCAGTTTTAGGGGATTATTTTTTCTTGAACATATATCGAGATATATATCGTATATCGAAATATAGCAAAATATATCGAGATATATTTTTTGATCCATATCGCCCAGCCCTAGTTTGACCATTCTTGAGCATTAATGTGGATATTTTATTGTTGACTGAGCGATCGTGTCTCTGAACAATTAGTATTACTCAAGTTTTACACAACGAAAAGCAGTCACTGAAGCAGAAATAAAAGGATCCACAAGTCGCCTGTTTAGACATTAAATGTAGCCCATTTCTTTTTTTTTTCTTTTTTTTCAAGATTTAATTGAAGCAGCAATATTGGGACAAAATAGTGAATAAAATAATTACAAAAAATGTATGATTGATTTGATAATACTTTTTGATTATCCTATTATACTATTATTGGTAAATGGTAAATAGTCACATTTTATTTAGCCTTAATAAAGCATGAACAAAGACTTAATTAATAATGATTCACGCTTAGTAACTACTTAATTACTACCTTAATTAGCACTTGCACTTCATTTGCCTGTGCTGTAAATAGTTACTCATAATTATTTCATACTTAATTACTCATGGACTAAGTATTTGAGCATTTATTAATCATTAGTAAGCGATGAGAGAATGATTTACTAATAATACAATCCAATGATCATTCAGGCGGCTGTTATCTGTAAGTCTTTTGGAGAGTTTTTCTAAAGTGAAGATACATTATCCTTTATTAAGCATTTACTAAGCCTGAATCATTATTGTTTAAGTCTTTGTTCGTTATTAATTAAGTCTTTGTTCATGTTTTATTAAGGCTAAGTAAGGTTTAGTTATTATAAAGTGTTACCTATAACACTTTTCCACCTTCAAGGCACTCAAAGCACTTTACAGTAAGGAACCACTCACCCATTCACACACACACACACACACACCAGTGTACGCACACACTGGGGGTTTGGTGGGTCATTAATCTGTGAGAGCTGGAATCACACCGCCAACCTGTGGGTCAGCGGACAAACGGCCTAACGACTGAGCGACTGACGCCCGTTCTTCAGTTATTATTCAAATTGTTCACCACAACCGGGTTTTTCATTTCTGCCGAGTTTTTCACAACTCCAAAGTCAGAGTTTGACCATAACTGTGAACCTAAAAACAACTAGCATGCTAACAGAGCACTTCACAGATGATAAAATGCTTTAGATGCAGACAGCACACGGCGGTCTCAGTAGGGAGGGATTTTTTGATTACCGTTAAGTTGTTCTGTATCTCATTTTCGCTCAATAGTTCTTATAGCTGTAAGAGGATGTTTAGCTCTGCATTGGCGTTCTGTGATTACATTTTCTCCGTAGGGGATAAATGGACATATACAACATTTGATTAACTCTTGAACTGTACATGGCATCGCAAAATGGACGTAAGAAAGTGAAAAATTAGAAAACATGTCTTAACATTTCAACATCTCTAATAAGATAGCTGGGCCTGTCTGCGTTTTTGTAGCGTGTTCCAGACCGGGATGCAACAATGCCCAACACACATATCACTTTATATTGCAGACCTACATGCAGATTGTGACAAGGCGACCACAAAAATCTCTTGCAACCCACCTGAAGGTCGCAACCTAGTCTTTGGGAAACAATGGGCTACACCAGACATGTCAAACTCAGGCCCGGGGACCAAATTTGCCCCACAACATAATTATATTTGGCCCGTGAGATCATATCAAATATGTATTAGAGCTGCCCGCCGGCTATAGAGACATTATTTATTGAACATTTTGATATTATTTTATATTCTGCTTGTTCTAGATAGAATGTTTGAGCAAAACTATTATTAAACATTTATTTTAATAAGAAAACATTTTAACATTACATATCTCGAAAGAAGAGAAAACATTCAATAAATATTTAGTTTGGCCCACGACAATTTTTATTCTAGCCCACTGTGAATTTGAGTTTGACACCCCTGGGCTGGACCTACATACACTGCAAACAGTAATATCTACTCAAATTAACATTAACATTTAACTTGATTTCAGTAGATCTGACTTGGCATGTTATTATTATTACTTTTTTTTTCCTCAATTCAAACTAAATAAGATTTACTTTCTTATTTTAAGTGCAAAGAGTTGTTATTTTTCTTATCTTCTGTGTAACAACAGTTATTTTTTTCTTCTAAGTATGAATCGTTTTGTTCCACTGGGTCATTTGACTCGTCATGTGAAATGTTCTCAAATCAAGATAACATTTTCTTAAGTCAAGTCATTTTAAAGGTGCACTGTGTAACTTTTTGATTGGAATCCATCATTGTTTTGTCTGGAACATTCCACAGTGCGACGTTAAACAGCTCTGCCTTACTACTGGTGGTTTTATAGCTCTAAAATAAAAAACAGGCATTCTGACTGTGAGCGGGGTCGCCTCTCCACAGATCTGACCTGTAACTTGGTCTGGTCTCCATGAAACATTCCAGACAAAACAATATCTCCACGAAGAAAAGTGTCTGACTGACCCTCCAACAGAAAAGTTACACAATATACGTTTAAGTCCAATAAGGTTCATTTGGTCTTCTGATATTTTATGTTATTTGGTTCTTTTTTTCAGACCAAGAATTTGTTTTCATGCCTGAAACTGTCAGAAAAAAATAAAAATAAAAAATAAAACTCTTGGTCTAAAAAAAAAACAAACTCTTGGTCTGAAAAAAACAAACAAACTCTTGGTCTGAAAAAAGAACCCAATAACATAAAATGAACGATTAACTTGGCAAGATTTTAGTTTTTTCAGTGTAGTTTATTAATATTTGTATATACTGGACTGTATTTGACACCCCGTTTTTTACATGCAGGACTGTGTATGAACCAAAACACAACTCCAGGTATGTTTTTGATGAGGTAACAATATTCTAACACGGCTAAAATCTCTCAAGAGTTAATTTTGCGTAATAAAGGAGCTTTAAATGTGACTAATCGCGCTCGTGTTCCGGTGTGAGCGTGTACCTGGAGTGAGCAGGATCACAGACATGGTGATGAGGGAGCACACCACCAGGATGACCAGCAGAGCGATGGCGATGCCCTTCCAGTTCCTCTGAGGAGGACTCACTCCACCAAGGTCCTGAAGAGAAACAAACAGAGGAGACGAGTGTTACAAGAGAACTGAGCAACAGAACTGCAATGTTTTTATCAGATGTCCAGTATGAGAGAATCCAGAATACACTTTTACACGTTAAAATGAAAGTTAAAATGAAAGGGCACATGATGTTTCCCCTGCATATTTAGGCTGAGTTCTTGTCAGAAAACACACGTGCCAGGTGGTTATACAGGAAATCCACTGTGATTTTAAATTCCATAAACCCTCTCTATAATGATTTGGATGATTTCAGCCCTGGATTTCCCAAAAGCTGCTGGACTAAAGGTCAAATGTAGCTGTTAACTTTTTCAGTTTGAGTTTTGGAGATGTAGACAAACTAATAATAAAGATTTACTCAAACGTGTGAAGAAAAAAAAAAAAAAAAACTCCAGGTATGTTTTTGATGAGATAACAATATTCTAACGTGTCTTAAAGTCAATAACCGGTATCCATGGTCCAAAGTTACTCCTCACTTTCCTAATATTTTCTGGAGGGGGGGGGGGTGTTCAGGATTGGATATAGTCAAACTTTCTCAGTTAAAATAAGAAGACAACAGAAATCATTGTTTTTGGTCATTGTGATGTGTTGATGAACTGTGACAGTGCCATAGTTCCTCTCAGCTCCTATGAAAAAGTATTTTCTAGAAATCTTGATGTGAATTTTGATTGCAATTTTAAATTTGAAAAACAAGTAAGCTCTGTTTTTAAATCAGGTTTTTATCAGTTAAGAGTTTTAAGCAAAATCAAATTGTACATTCCACATCTGCACTTTGAAATGGTCATTCATGCATTTGTGATCCCATGACTGGATTACTGTAACTCTCCCAGCTCATCCGCCATCAGGGGGTCCAGAATGCAGCAGCTCGCCTTTTAACTGGAAAGAAGCAGATCACTCCTATTCTTAAATCCCTGCATTGGCTCCCTGCAAATTTTTGAATCCATTTTAAAATTTGAATGATTGTTTTTAAGAGTTTTAATGGCATGGTACCTTCCTATTTATTTGAACTCCTTCAGCTCCATGTTCCAGTTGTTGTTGGTCCATGACTGTGGAACACTTTGCCATTGCACAGTTACAGGAGCACTTTAAATCTCTGCTCAAAACGCACCTTTTCTCCTTGGCATTTGCCCAGAGTAAGGAAGAGACACCTTGGCACCTTGCTGTTATTATTTTTTATTATTATTATTCTGCTTGTTTTGCTTATTGTATGTTTTATTTCACTGTAAATGTTGTTCAGCACTTGGGTGAGCTAAATGTGCTATAGAAATAAATCTGATATGATAATACTTTTTGAGCATCCTAATTATTATTAAATGGTAAATAGTCACATTTTTATACAGCTCTTTTCCACTTTCAAGGGACTCAAAGCACTATACAACAAAAGAACCACTCGCTCATTCACACACACACTCACACACCAGTGTACACAGAGATCGGGGCGAGGTGGGTCATTAATCTGTGAGAGCTGGAATCACACCGCCAACCTGTGGGTCAGCGGACAAACGGCCTAACGACTGAGCGACTGACGCCCGTTCTTCAGTTATTATTCAAATTGTTCACCACAACCGGGTTTTTCATTTATGCCGAGTTTTTCACAACTCCAAAGTCAGAGTTTGACCATAACTGTGAAGCTAAAAAACAACTAGCATGCAAACAGAGCACTTCACTGATAAAAAAAAAAGGCTTTAGATGCAGACGGCACACGGCGGTCTCAGAAGGGAGGGATTTTTTGATTACCGTTAAGTTGTTCTGTATCTCATTTTCGCTCAGTAGTTCTTAGCTGTAAGAGGATGTTTAGCTCTGCATTGGCGTTCTGTGATTACGTTTTCTCCGTAGGGGATAAATGGACATTTCCGACATTCGATTAACTCTTGAACTGCACATGGCATCGCAAAATGGATGCAAGGAAATGACGGGAAACATTTACAAACCTCCTATATTTCTGAGTGACTAGAAGGCTGCAGACCCCTATATAACGAATCGCTCTTCTGTGCTGCTGAAGACGTGGCCTTTTCCGCTGAAGCTTTGACCTCAGAGCTAAATCCATACATTACTTAAACACTCAGAAGTGCCGGTGTCATGATAAAGCGCACACAGACAATCTCCACACAATGTCTGCTTAACACGGAGCAGGTTAAACTGTTAAAGGGGGATTGGGGATCAAGAGCTTGGCATATTTTTATCTTAAGAGCAGCTTGCACTATATCTATAAATATTTACAGATTAGAGGATTTTTGTAAATTAGTGAACGAGTGGTACATCAGAAATAAACAACCGACGAGAAGCTAAACATGGGAGCTTTTTCTTTCTTTTTTTTCATGTATTAAATATATTGAAAGCCCACTAAACTCTTTTCTTCTTCTTTTTTAAAGCTCTTTCATCTATTCATAGTGATTCTTTTAACATCCATGAATAAAGTCATTATAGAGTCATTATAGACTCACAGCAAGAAGGTTCTGAGCTTAACTCCCATGACCATCTGCCTTTTCTCTGCAGAGTTTGCGTGTTCTCACTTTGTCTGCGTGGATTTCCTTTTGTCACTCTGGTTTCCTAGTCAAGCTGGTGCCGCCTAGTGCCTCCGCTCAATTTCATTTCTCTCCAGCGACTAAGTCAGGAATCAGAATACACTAGACGGTTCACAAGATCAACCAAAGATGTGAAGCCATGACGTCAAACTCAAGCGCCTGTCTGGGTCCCTTTTGTAGTACAGGACAACAGTAAACAAAGCGGCCCAGATGGATCTACATTCTGTGTTGGCAACGATTCCCGAGATCGAAGATTTAAAGCCGGAACAAAGAGAATGTTTGGTGAATTTTATCAAGGGGAAAGACGTTATTGCTCTTCTTCCTATGGGATTTGGCGCATTACATACGTCACGACTAAATAGCAGCGATTGGTTAAATAAAAAAGTACCCGCCTACTGTCGAGCGAACGAATCCTAATGCTGCAGAATCATGTTACTGTTTTCCCCCATCAACCCTTAACATGCACAGTGGGTCAAAACTTACAGCTAAGGTACTTCTGACTATAGGACGTAACAATAACCGAAATATCGCAATATTGTATCGTCAAAAGTCTCACAATAATGTCGTGGGCCATCACAATATATCAAATTACAAGTCTCTTTGCTTGAATGAATAGTTATGGTGCAGCAACAGCTAAACAAAAAAAACAACACAAACTACATAGACCATGATCCTTTGCTCCGTTTCAGCACAGACTACATGAAGAAATAACAAGCAATTTCTGATGTAGTTCCCGACACTGGGCTTGCCAACCGACTGTGATAAAACCCACTGAAGTAAATGTCATTAGTGGTAAAATGAAGACTGCCTATGTATGTGCTGTTTGGAATCATCTTGAGTTTGGTGCCTCATTTCTTCTAATCACATGTACCCAGTGCGCTCAGAGTTGTGTGTCAGAGGAGAGAAATTGGAGAAAACTGAAGTACAGTTGCAATTGTTCATTAGTCGAACATAATGAAATGCTACAACGACAAGTCGATGAAGAAAACTGGGACATTTTGTAATTTTTCCTAGATTTTGTCAGACTTACTACCGCATGCTGGAAGAGCGCGCTTTTCAGTCCCGCTCCTGAAAAGAATTGTAATTTTCAGTCCAGCTACCGCCTGCATCTGCGATATTTTATCCCGCGCCCGCCCGCAAGTCCCGCAGGACGGGAACTTTTGCTTTCTTAAGCTCTATCAAACACGGAGAAGTGAAAGGACTTGGGCTGCGTATGGGAGGAGGAGCGGTAGGCGGTCCGCTGGCATGGTTAAGTCCTGGCTAAATCCTGTTTTAGTCCTGGTTTTAGACCTGTTTTTAGACCTGGTTTAGTCCTGGTTTAGTTCTGGTTTAGTGAGACGGGGAGGACTGTCCGTGCGGCCTACAGGACAGGGGGACGGTCTGCTGCTTAAAATGTTTTTATTAATGCCAAATAAAATATCCAGCACAAATTATGCACGATATGCTTACATTCATCATTTGTATATTTTACTTTACACTCATATTTAGTTCTTGGGACTGCAGTTTATCATCCCAACCGCGGTGAGCTTTCAAAATGTGTCCCGCGCCGCACTGTTTTGCGTCGGGTCCCGTGGGATTGCAGGGCTCTAGCTGGAAGTTGTCATCGCATGTTTCCAAACATCTTCCTGGTTTGTGATGTAAGTGTGAATAGAGCCTATTGTTGAGCATCGTACCGAAAGATCTGGATACTGTTACACCCCTAGTCCTGACCAAGACTAGCCCAAGATCTGGACCCATCTCCAGATCTTTGAAGGATGAGTCAAATGCAGGGACAAATTTTCCTCAAGTGTACCTTAACCATAGATCAATATTGAGATTTAATGCCTTCTCTACAAATTTCTTCTTCCAAATTCTGAACTCTGCTCCAAACTAGGTGCTTTTCCTGCCAGAGGATCGGCTGTGGACCTCATCATTATTACTGGATCTCGATTTAATTCAAATTCCGTCAGTTACACAGCCCAAGTTCTGCACATTTCAGCTTGAGCGTTATAAAGTTTGCGCGTCCGTCGACAGTTCGGGGGAAGATCATGACATATAGCGGGTTCGTATACACTTCTATCTCCAAGTGTCAGTGTGGCTTGGACCAGCTCGAGCAGCTCATGTGCTTCAGCTGTGATAAGCCAAATTAAGCTTCACTGGCAGAAATTCCCTCTTCTTCCGAACCTCCTTCTGGCCTCAATTACCCACAATACCCTGCAGGTGAGGAGCAGTGATTACTAGCCACCAGCGCGCTATACTACTCTTTGAAGGGCTGGAAGGGGCAGGAACAATTGGCAATTTCCAATTACTCCCGAGATGTGCTGTAAAATGGAACATAATTCGCAGCTAAGATTTACTCAGTCCGGCGATTTAATAAATGACATGGTTCGGAGGGGGGACTCTGGATTGGGGTGGCAGCAGACTGATGATTAGAAAGGGAAGCTTAAAGTGGAAGTAAACAAAAACATCAACTTTTTGTGCAACTAAACTGTGCACATGGTGTTTTAATAGCATTTCCTTGTCTTCCTAGTAGGTTTTTTTTGTTTGTTTGCTTTGGAAATTTTAGGTCAAAGTACAGTGTGTGTTGCCTCCGGTGGCCATGTACTGCAAGTTTAAGTACCTGGTGACATCACACAAGACTGCCCTGATTACAAATAACTGGTTGCAGGGGTGGAGTTTGGTTTGAAGTATGGAACAAAACACAAACCGTTTCAGGATTGCCATATTAAATAGGCGAGTTTCAGCTGACGTCATTGTTATTAAAAGGCCGCGTTGCATGCTGGGAAATATTTTGGTCGGAGGCAAGAAACACGCTAGCGGTCAAACACAGTGCATAACCTCGCGTATTTATCCCTGATAATGTTAAATTCCTGCTGTATTATCGGATGCACAAATAGAAGCACGGAAGAAGGAAAATGTCTTTTTCGTATTCTGAGTGAAAAGAACCGCTAACGGTGAATTAAACGGCTTTCAAACATTCGCAGAGCAAACGTAGAAGATCCTAACAAACCGTGGACTCCAACAAGTTCAACAACACATCGAGACTCTTGGAGGTTTTCATCTTTTCTGCTGTGAATGGCCCAGGAGTTTCCACCAAGTCATTGTGGATATCACCAAAGTGAATATTTAGCCAGGTAGTTGGTGATTCTGACCAGAAATTTGGTTTGGTCCAGGCTCTGTAGGGGTTAAATTTGTCGTCCATCGATGCTTATGATAATTTCTGGTCAAATGGTCTTGGGTCCTCTGCTGTTAAGAGTGGATAAATAACTGGGATCAATACCCTTTACGTGCTTTCTCGCTCCATCCGTCATGTTGAATTAGTGTTTATTGCCACCGACCAAAATAATTCCCAGCATGCAACACACGCTTTTGTCAACAATGAAACTCGCCAATAAGATATCAATAAGTCCCAAGCTTTCCAAAAGGTTTAGAAAAGAATTAGATCTGTAGTAGTAGTTTTTTATTTGGTCTTTTTGCAACATTACAAAACAAAACTCAGGGCCTGTTAAAACAACATCGCTTGCGGGTAAAAACGACAAA